CCCCCCGCGGAGGAGGGTGACGAGCCCCGGGCCAGGATGTGCCGCAGGCCCCGCTGCGGGCAGCGGTGGCAGCGCCGGGCTCGGAGCGATGCTCCATGGGCAACGGCAGTGCTGCGGTCGAAGCGATGCTCCATGGGCGACGGCAGCACCCGCGTCGGAGCGATGCTCCGTGAGCGGTAGCAGCACCGGGATGGCAGTGATGCTCCGGCAGAAGGGATGGGGGCGGAGGGGATGGAGGAGCAGCGGATGCGCCGAGCGGAGGAGCGAGAGGTGGCCCTGGCTGCCGGTCGTGCTCCCATCATCATCAGTAGCGTTTAAAAATGGTGTCCCTGAGGGAGGCGAGGGAGGAGGAAGCGATGAGCTCTGTGCAGAGGCTGGGAGTGATGAGCCCCAGCTCTGGGGGATTCGGGGCCCTCGCAGGTTTCTCCAGGTTCGTGCCTTAGCCTCGGTTTGAGTCGACAAACGCTTTGCGCTGCAGACGCTCTGGTTTTCCGCACGCGCGAGGCCATCTGTGATGGAGACGTGCTCCGGTAGCGCTTCTTTGTATTGAACTTTCAAACCAAGGAGGTTGGCAGCGAGTTCCCGGGTGGCAGCCACATCCCACCTGGAGAGGAACGGTATCCTGGCAGGATTTTGAAGGAAATTTCCATGGGCTTAAGCGATCAGAAAGACACGACAGGAAGAAAAGAGCCTAAAAATCCACAGTGACTCCTCTGTGCTGCCTTAGTGGTCATGAGCCCTCTGAGCTGCTTGGTTTTGGAAGGGGGAGGGTGTCTGGGGTCCTGCCGAGTAAGAGGATACTGCTGCTAGCAGCAGAGCTTGTCCCCCTTCGCCATCTGTTCCTTTCTACATGGGGGTTTCCAACGGCAGCCTCTGGCTCACGGAGATCTCACCGGATCGTGTTCGATCGCTGACGCGCCGGAGCCCCGGCTCTGCCGGCCCCGCGCACAGACCGAAAGGAAAAGCTCTCTCTGTCGGGGATTAGTCACTGCCGTGGGTGCGCGGAGCCACGTCTGGATGTCCGTCACATTCCTTGGGCAATTCCCCATAACAGAGAATTCCTTCTTTCTTTTCCCATATGGTTAATTGTTATTAATGAAGCACAAGGAACCTGGAAAAATCTTCCATCTTCTGACCAAGATTTCTTGAGCAAACCAGGCCATGCTGATCTTGTAATAATAATTTTATTAACAAACAATTATCATCTCTGTAAGGAAAAGGAGGAGTTTATTTTTTTCAATATTTGGCCAACTATTAATAAACTGTCTTTGCATGACTTAATTTCCCAAGAAGTGCTTTAATGGTCAGCAATGGCGATTGCTTGTAAACTTGCTCTGAATTTCTCAACTATATTGGAGATGTAACTCCTTGTAACAACTCTTGACCTTCGTTCATGGCACCAGGAAAATTTGATGGAGATACTCTACAAGAAAAGAAATTCAAAATAATTCTGTTGGTGAGAGGGAAGATGACACAAATGTCTGGAACTTGGCCTCAAGGGGATGATAGAAAATGCAGAACAGAGATACAGCAAAAGGCCTTCAGGAGCTGTGCAGTTTGGCTTCCTTTTTAATGAGCAGGATAATTTTATGGCTGTTAACATTGGTGCCTGAGCAAGGCAGGAGCCCGGTTCCGCCAGCCTGGTTCATCTCAGCTGTATTAGCCTGTGCCAAGAGCCTCCTGTCTGTTGCGCTGGCTGCAATTACATGTGATTCTCCTAGTGCATGGGCAGTGAGGGGAGGCGTGTGCCCTAAAACACAGGGGACTTCAAGCCTGTGCTTTTCAGGCAAGGGTCAAAGCTTTTGCACCCTGCAGTTATTCTTCTTGGCTAAAAGTCTGTTATTGACCAGGAATATGTACCATCTAACGGAGACACATGTCTACAAGAAATGCTCCAATTAAGTGACTTCCCCAGATTTGGCAGCATAGCTGGAAAAGAAAGTGACCAGCACATGACCAGGAGATGTTTGTCCTTTTTCTGTATTTTGCCATCTCTCCCACTACTCATCTTGACCCGCTGCAGGGTTTCACCCCATGCCTGCCAGTGCTTGGAGGCTGTGTTATTACCAGTCTCTAGGGCAGTTGTTGTCATGTCTTTCCTCCCTTCCTGCTCAGCTCCACCTTGGATCTCTTCTATAGAGGCAGCCAAGCTGCAGAACTGAAATAACCTGTGCTGCTTCCCTGCAGCTCTCCGCTGCACAGCTTCGAAACCAACTGCACATGCATGCAAGTGTTCATTACGGCCCTGAATTTAAAATCCCTCCTGTGTTCCCCCGAGCGACTCTGGTAATAAAGACTTCTTTACTCACCTCAGTGCATGGCTGTGAAGAGGATGAGGTTGCAAAGATGCTGCTGCTCAAGCATTTAAGGGTCTGAGAGGTAAGACCTGCCTTGTGATCTCAAGGTCAGACATCCAGGCTGTCTGACCTCACTCCTATGCTATCTATTAAATCTGGCCCTAAGGCTGCTCTTGGGACGTTTCACCATATGGGAACTCTTAATTTCAGCCTCAGGAGTGGTGGGATGGTGCCTTCCGTGTAGATCCCGCCTGCAAGCGGGATTGGGGAGCGACATGAATTTGTGCTTGCTCCAGAGTTCCAGGTGTTTCGGTGCGGAGGCAGCTGCTGAGCAGCTCATGGCTTCTGCTTCTAGTCCTTTGAGCGTGGGATTGGTATGTCAGTAGAAGCTCTGTCTGGCCTTTTACTTTCCTGAACGATGACACACATGGGAGGGTTTTGCCCCACTGTCTGTAAGCTGAATTTGCTGCCTGGGTGCTGGCACATGCAATATGGAGCATCACCACTGGCTGCACATGGGCAGTGCGTTTGTATGAATGCATCTCCTTCACCTGCAGTGCCAAGGAGCCCCCATCCCTTATGGCAGTCGTTCTGAATCTCCACTGTGTGTGGCCTTCGACAAGGAGACCTGGCCATGGTGGAAAGTGAAAATGCACAATGCTCTAAGCCACCTTTAGGGTGCTGCAGAAAAAAAAAAAAGGCTCTTGCTAGGCTGGTGTTAGGACCTGCCTGACTCATGTTCAGCAGTTCTGCTGAAATGTACGGTGCTAAAGGGACTTTTGCTTCTCTGAACTTTGCAGCAAAGACACATTGGTTCAGGCCGCAAAGCTCGTGTGCTTATTCCCCCTGCACCCTGGTGCTCAGGCTCAGCTCAGAAGCGGCGACACAGGATGGGTTGTGCCACCTTGCTGCTGCCTTGTGCTTCCTTTTCTAGGCGTTACTTGTACGCGCTCTCCCTCTTCCTGTGTGTGACGGCAACATGGGCTTAGAGAAAAAACGATGAGCGAGACCAAGTGAACAGCCACAGTCCTTAAATGTGGGACGTGCAGGGGTTTCACCTTCCTGAGCCTGAGATATTTAGGCAAGTGCGAGTACCAGAGGGGCTGCTATGGGCAGCTGGAGGGAAGTCTTGAGGGCCCTGGAGGATGATGGTGCAAAGCAGGGGACGTCCCTGGCCAGGGCAGGCAGAGCTGCAGCCCCGGTGCAGAGTGGCACTCGCTGAGACAGCAGGAAGCCGCCACCGGCTGCAGCACACCGGTTTGTAATGGCTGGTTTGGGCAGTTGCTCTAATTTGTGACAGGAAACAATTTTCGCACAAGGGGATGGAGGAGGAAGTAGAAATTTGAGCAAGCAGGGAAGGGGCTGCCTGAGGCTTTTCTTCCCCAAGCGCTTCCTCCATGCTCTGGAGAGCGCTGTGCAGTTTCTGAGCTGCCCGGGACCTCAGGGCAGCAGCGGTGGCAGCGGGACAGGACCTGCTGGGTCCGTGTGTGTTCCCGTTGCGCGATGGTGGCCAAGGCAGCCCGCACGTCCTGCCACCCGGAGCCGGCTCAGGAGGACGTGCCACATCTCCCGTCTGTCTAGGGACATGCCGACATCCTTGTTCATCCATGCTCTCACAGTGCTGCGTGCGAAAGTCAAACATATCCCGGGATACAGCAACTCTGCTAAGAGTAAAATAAAATGGACCCAAGGGAATAAGTAGTGGTGGAAAATCAAGATAATCAGATAATCCTATGGAGCAGCCATGGCTGAGGGGGCTGCCACAACTGCGAGTGAGCAGGGAGGCTGCGTTGGTTTTGTGTGGGCACCACTGTCATCTTGCACCTGGCTATGGTGTCCGCTCTTAAGCAAAAAAAATGTTGCAAAATTGGTTCAAGCTCCCAGAAAAGCCAAAGAGATGATTGAAAGATTGGCAAATACCCTTTGCAAGAACGCAGTTGAAGAGCCTGATCTGCTTGGGGTAGCAGAGGTGGTTGCTGGGGGGTTACTCTGAAATCTCCAAGTATCTTGATGGAAACTGAGTTAATAAAGAGCTCTACTGTCCTGCAGGCAACAGTGAAAAAATCTCCGTGGCTCACATTTGAAACCAGATAGGCTATGACTATTAAAAAAGTACACTTTTTTTTTTGCAAGGGGGAGATTTGCAGGTTGAACATGTCAATGTTTAAAGCTAATTCTCTGTTGCTGCAAATGCTTAAATTCATGCAGGCAGTTTTCTAGGAGATGCACTCCAGGTCAGCCACAGCTCTTGCACTTGGATTAGGGATTAACTAGGGAAGCCCTGTGGCTCTGGTTACACAACAGCTCTGTGGGCATAACAGCAGCCATCCCTCTGCGCTTGTGCACTCGCTGCAGAGGTGAAGAGCAGAAGGAACAGGGGCCAAGCAGGTTTCTGTCCCATGTTTCCCGCTAGCTGCTTTGTGCGGGTGCCCAGCACAGAGGTAAGCGCTGGG